ACTTTGATCACATTACAGTAATTTAAACAATAAATTTAACGATTTTTCAATTCTCTTGATTTATAAAAATTTTGCAGTTCAAATAATGATAGCACTGAGCAACAAAAATATTTTTGAGGAAATTTCCTAATTTTTTACAACTGATTTATGATAATTTGGCACCGCTGAGTCCGAAAATGACATCCGTTTCTCTAGGTCAGGTCCAGTTTTTCTGCTAAGTTAAATGTTTATTTTATTTTATTTGTGAATAAATCAGTAAAATTTTTGTGCCATAATCGGTTTATTTCTATGAACATTTCTCATTCGGAATTGGTTTCAAAGAGAAAAAAGCGTTCTGAAACACAGTACCTTAAGTAAGGGTCATTAATGTTTGTCATTGTTAAGAATTTAGGGCTGGAACTTCCGTTTATTGGATACCCTGGAATGCTCAGCATCAGGGATGTCTCTCTTTAGAGTCCAGCAGTAATCAGCCATCATGACGGCATTCCAACGTCCCTGATACCTGGTCTCCATCTCCTTCATCTCCTGGTGGAATCCCTCTCCCTGCTCGTCGCTCATTGATCCAAGATTCTCAGGAAAACGATCCATATGTGAAAATAGATAATGCAGTTTGATGCTCATGTTGCATCCGAGTTTTTTGAAAGCAGTCACCATATTGTTGACAAGTTCAGCATAGTTTCTGGCCTTGTTGTTGCCAAGGAAGTTTTTCACAACGAGAACAAAAGCATTCCATGCTTCCTGTTCCACTTTGTTCATTGACTTTTCAAACTCTGGATCTCTGATGAGCCGACGGATTTGAGGACCGTCAAAGATACCAGCTTTTAACTTCACTATGGTTACTCCCGGAAATGTCTGGCACATGTAATTGAAGCAGCCACCTTCCTTGTCTAGAGCTTTTGTGAACTGCTTGATCAAGCCAAGCTTGATGTGCAGTGGTGGGAAGAGTATCCTGTCTCTACTGTCCCACATGCACAGAAAACCTGGGTATTTGGTGAACCCGGATTGTTGCCCCAACAAAAAATTCACCATCTTCAGGTCGACACAAATAACCCACTTATGCTGATCATAACGAATCATCTCCAGCACATACTTCACCGCTTCATACTTCTCCTTCAGTTTAGTAGAGTGAGCAAGGGGCACAGAGGCAAACTGGTTGCCGTTGTGCAGTAGAACACATTTCAGTGACCGCTTGCTGCTGTCAATGAACAGTATCCAGTCTTCGGGCTTGTACTGCGGCACTCCCAGGTGGTGCAGAAGCTGTGCAATATCTGTGCAGTACACCAAGTCCTGCACCTCCGAGAAAAATTGGAGGTACTCTTGATGCCTGTTGCGGTACAGGGTGATGCGAGCACAGCCAGAGAGGAGGTTTTTTTTCAATCTGGATGCCAACAGTTCAGCAGAGGCCTTTGACAAGCTGAGGTCGCGAACTAGATCATTTAGCTCCTGTTGGGAAAAAAGCTGTGGAGTTTCATCGTCAACAACTGGCCATTCTTCTTCTGTTTCCTGATCTTCATCACTGGAGGATTCGTCATCACTGATGTCTTGAAGTTTGTGAAACACAGGTACTGGAATATCATCACAATGAGCTACAGGACGACGTGCGGACTGCAAATCAGGATACTCGAGGCTGCTTCGGTTCTTTCTGTTTATCCCAGTCAGATCGATGCTACAGAAGTAGCAGTCAGTGTCATGGTTTCTCTGCTCCCGCCAAACCATGGGAATTCCAAACTTCAGACACGTCTTCTTGCCCTTGGTCCACTGACGCAGATACACGGTGCAAGCCTTGCATACCATGTGTGGCGCCCAATCTTTATCCTGGTCACCAAGTTTAATACCAAAATAAGCATGGTAAGCACGCTTTATGAAACATGTGACTTGATTCCTGTTATGAACAAGTGTGTATTCACCGCAGATATAGCAAAATACGTCGGGTTTATTTTTACAAGATCTTCTCTTGGAAGCCATGTCGTTCGCTTGCGATTCGTTTGCAACTGATACCTATACTAATGCAATCTGCTATATGGCTCAGATTTGGAAAATGCTGACGTAACTATCCATAGTTATACACAGCCTCGTCCGGGCATGTCTGCGATTGTCTGATCACGTGACTGTAGTTACGTGATTTAATGCATTGAACGTGTGTGTGTGTGTGTGTGTGTGTGTGTGTGTGTGTGTGCATAGGGGAAACATAAAAATACCAATTAATTAAAAATTGCAAATTCCTCATATTGATGAAGTGATTAAGAACAAAGCATCACATACAGCGAAAATACCTGGGACTGTACACAAAAAAGTGAAAATGAAGATATGGCCATAGCTTAGAAAGTTGACCTGATCTAGAAAAACCAATGTGATATTTGGATTCAGGACATCAAAATTTCCATAAATCAGCCGAAAGACCTTAGGAAATTTTTTGGGTGTTGACCAGTGTAGTTTATATTAAACTGCATAAGAGTTTGGCGTTGAACATCCAATATTTTATTGAAAACTGTCTAATTCTTTCATCATTATTCACATTTGATATATATGTTATCATGATTTAATAACTGTGTTTCACAATTGTGTTTTTGTTTTTTTTTAAATTATAAAATTGAGAATAAATTTTCTCTTTTTAA